CTCATTGACTCAGAGGGTGATATTGGTGCTCTACCAACTACTTTGACTGAACTGTACGAGCTGGCCTTAGTCTACTTCAATAAGCATCATGACCGAAATCAAAGCAAAGAAGTTTTAAAGCAACTTCAACAGTTGGCTTACAATGGTATGAAAAATGATGAACTGATTTTCAATGGAGAGCTAGTTGATGAGAAAATGAAAGCGTCTGGATTATTAAATTCTTTACCTAATCCAATTTTTCAAATTCAAACACAAGCTTGCTTCATTCATTTAACTATACAAGAATTTCTCGCAGCGAAGCATATAGTGGAAACAAAAACACCTGAAGAATTAAAAGAATTTATAACTTCCCATTTCAAGCATGGCAGATGGCATCTGGTGCTTCAATTTCTAGCTGGAGTATTGGGAGTGAAAATAAGGAAGTCCGATGACTTTCGTCTGTACAGAAGCTGTGTGTTGTCGTTCAAGAAATATCTTGCAATTGAAGGCACTACGTACAACATTGAAGCAAATATTTTGGTGATGAAATGCTTGAGAGAAGCGCAGGATGAAGATGTTGCTAAAGAAATTGCTGCAAACTCTGCTTTGAAAGATGTGACTGAGATATGGTGTTCTGGTTGTGTTATAAGACGTCTCTCCCCAAGCGATGTGGCAGCAATGACGTTCATTTGCAAACACTTGAACTTTTTAAATTGTTTAAGCATTGCAGGCGTATCCCGTGCTTGTGTGATGGAAGCTTTTAAATTGCTGCATGGAAGATGCTTAAAGTCACTGAGTGTGCGGGATTGTAATCTTCACGACATGGGTGTGAGGCGTTGTGCTACTGCGTTGACATCTGAATGTCAGCTGAATCACAGTCATTCGAAACTTACCAAGTTATGTTTGTCTCACAACAGTATTAGTGATGCCGGAGTGGCGTATCTGAACGAGTTTCCCCAAAATAGCCATAAAGTCTGTTTGGAGGATTTAGACCTGTCGATTAATCACATTACTTCATGCGGAATTCCTACACTTTTAGAATTTCTCAGCGTCGAAGTTTGTAACCAGCTTACAGAACTTAATCTTGGTGGGAATGATATAGGTGATGAGGGCGTTCATTTTCTTTGTAGCGGAATTCGAGAAAGGCGGCTGAAACTTGAGAAGTTAAATCTATCTAAACATTCTCTCCCCAATGAAAGCATATTCTGGCTGGTAGAGCTTCTCAGTGACGAACACTGTCAAATAACTGACTTAAACATCAGTGATAATAATTTAAGTAATAAAGGAATGGCAATGTTGTGTGAAGTTTTCGGACAACAGACGTGTAAGGTTACTACGTTGAATCTTAGCTCATGTTCTTTAACAGAAAAAAGCATGGTTGCCTTGGGTGATGCTGTCAATGAAGGAAAATGTGGACTAAAGGACTTGACACTTAGCAATAATAAGATAGGAGATGAAGGTATGCGGATCTTGTGCAGTGTTCTTGAACAAGAAGAATGCCCTCTCATCAGTTTGAACGTTTCCCATTGTTCGTTAACAGACGAATGCATGCCGAGCTTGTGCCAGGCTCTCGGAGACAAGCGATGTAAACTCACTAAGTTGGATGTAAACAACAATGGAATCACAGATAAACATTTATCATTACTCTCAGAAACTCTGAAACTTCAGAATTGTTGTCTTGCATGAATGTTTATATATTGTATGTGTTACTACTAAAGTGGGTAAGAAGATCCTTAATGAAACCATACAATCAAACTGTAGAGAACGAGGTTTATACATTATGTATTAAAAACAATTGTGACACTGTTTATAACACATATTAAGATGTAGTAACGTTTCTTATAAAATAACATGTATATAACGCGTGTTCTGATTGGTTGAAGCCCGTGTTTGGATCAGGCCATCCAAACACGGAAACCATTAAGTAATTGTATAATCGCGGAGATCATAACTTTGGTTGAGGCCGTTGAGCCTCAAAGAAGTCACATATAATTATACATTTTATCAGATAAGGTTGGAAATTTGTAGGAATAATTTGTAATTAATTTAGATATTATTGGACAACATGATGAATTAACAAGGTTTTCATTACTAAAAGTTTAAACGGTTGTTAAAAATGCAAATGGTTTTTTAATCTCGGAGTTAGGTTTATGTCCGTACGAACTGACAAACATATCGTCATATGTTTGGCTTTGCCACAATTTCACCCTGCATCAGTATAGTTTACAGAATTCAGCTTTGATAGCTAATAAATTTGATTTCTTATTTCTTTCTTTAACGAACCGTGTTGACATATTCTAAACAGGAAGAGGTCTGTTGCTGGTCACAGGAAAGTTTTCCAGAACATTTTAGGCAGTTGCCCAACCAAATTTGATTCGGACTGTCAGCGCTGTGTCATTAGGCAACTGACCAACAATTAGACAACGAAGCCCAGTTAACCATTCGTTCAAATATAACGAGTTGTCTAATTGTTTTATTAAAAAATAACGGAATACAAAGAAACCCCGCGACTTCAAGTTTTCGCAATAAAAACAAAATTCGCAATTTTAAGAAAACTTTTCGTGCCAATTGTTCATGTTGCAAAGACTTACATACACCAATAGGCATATTCCGAGAGTGGACTGACTTGATTCTGGTCACAATATCCTTCTTTTGGAGTATGATATTTAGTCAATCCACTACAATAGGCTATCATTAATCTTCCGCCAGGCAGAAGGCGCGATTCGGGATAGTTTATTATGGAAGCGCTTCAGTTGGTAAAACCGAGAACGCAGTTCGTGGCTGAATTGTCTTTTCATTTCAATTTCCAGAGCAGTGTGATAAACCCCGGCAGTTTCTTACCCCGGAACTCGGGAGAATAAAACCACGACTACTCTTCTAAACTCTTCAAAACTGAAATATCAAAAGGAAACTTTAAAATCTTACCTTCCTTTGCAAAGATTCCTCTGGACGTAGAAAACAGCTGCAGAATAAGAAACAAAAACATTTTCTAACTCTTCATGGCGTCCATGTTGATTCATAAAAACGACTGCATGGATTCGTATGTGACTGGCTTGGAAACACGATTTGACTGGAGTTGAGTTGATCTTCACACTTGAGTGTATGACGTCATAATCGCGGGTTATGACGTTCTGAATTTAATTAGAACACAAACAATTAGCGCTTTAATTGCATTTTTATCAGGGCGCTTATATAGTATATAAGCGCCCTGGGCCCAGTTGTTCGAAAGGCGTTTAGCTTAAACGGTGGATAAGCCAAAGTTTAAAAATACTCTCATACATCTTGTGAATGACTGAAGCTGCATCTTATGCATTTAATATGTACTTCCATTGACAATTAAACTATTTACAGCAAAATATTTCAGCTCAGTTGTTCAATAAATAGATAATTTGATTTTCTATTTATGACTTATCCGCCGTTTAAGCTAAACGCCTTTCGAACAACCCGCCCCTGATTTTTATTCTATAATCTCGTGTGTAAGGGCTGGCGGATGCAGAATGAGATGATTTTCACACTTTCAGTCAACAAGTTTCAGCAGGTAAAAAAACGTGACGGTTTATCATATTAAACAAATACATTTAATCACCAGGGGCCGGTTGTATGAAAACCGGATATATAGCGCTCTCAACCATAAAGGTTTTTTTTCAATCGCTTTAAAATCACCCGTTGTTGACTGGAATTTTTTTATTTAATTTGATTAAATCTTAGTATTCCTTAATTGAAGGTCCTCTTTAAAAATTTTTGCTTACAAAGCTGAAATTTTATTGCTTTTCAAGCATTTTTAGAAAGGTTGAAAAAATCACTATTCGATGGATAGCGCTATCCACATATATAGGTTACAAACAATCTATGTATTCTGAATTCATCAGATTTTGCTGACTTGCACGAGGTTCTTCAGAGTTATTGTGTGCAGTCTCGGTGAAGGCAATATCGTTCGGTGACGTACCTTTTGGTTCTACTGCGCATGTCACAGCATCATCATCATTAAGTTCAGAATCACCAGAATCTGAATCACGGCGGCTGTTTCGGTTTCATATGACTCGCTGTAAAGTCGAAAGAGACGAATGTTTGATAAGAATGCGTGGCGAAAGAATGCAACTCTCTGGAAGAAAGATAGAATTTCAGCTGTTTCTATTCAGGGCTCACCCTCAATTTCAGCTCGCTTTTTAAAAAGTATTTCGAATATTCGTTTGAGGATTCAAAAGTTTCTTCGGCCAAAAAATGCCCAACTCTCTGCTAGGAAGATAGAGTTTCACTCGTTTCCATTCAGTTTTTACTCTTGACTTCAGCTTGCTTTCAAAAAACTATTTGGAATATTCGTTTCAGTTAATTTGTTTTAATAAAAATTAGGTTTGCTGTTTCAGTAACCGGAAAACACCAACAAGGGGGAATTTCGTTTTAGACCAATCAGCAAGTTTGTTTACATTTCCAGTAACCCAATCAGAATGCATAAATTTTGATAAAAAGTACAGTATATACCATCTTACATGAAGCATTAAAAATTTAAGCTGATTGGCTTAGCCTGAAAAATGTAAACAAATATGGCGATTACTTTAAAACGAAATTCCTCCTTGTTGAGAACCCTTTAATAACAACGCTATTGGTGATAGATTTTTACATTAAAATTAAAATCTGCCATTGCGATTCCGATTTTAAGCTGTAGTAATTTATTCTACACACCCCTAGATCCGCCACTGTGCTGTTTTAAACGTTGTGAATGGATTGATAGCGAAATGATTAGCTTGAAAATCAAACAGCGTAATACATAATCTTCGGACATTTCCGTGAGCAATCGGAAACTTACTTCAGAACAAGCTTTTGAACTTTGGAACGAACTTTTAAATATTTAAACCAATATTCGATAAACTTTTTTCAAAGCAAGCAGAAATTGGGAATAAGCAGTTCATATATTTTTCCACTATCCAACTTCCTATTGAGTCAGATGCAGAAAAATAGCCACTGGTGTACCCAATTATGTGATCTCAAACCCCTCCCATCCACTATCCACTGCGTACCTCATAACCTAGACCTTATGGTTCATGTCCTGTCTTCTGACGTCACTTGATAATTTATTCAAAGCGCAAGTGTAATTTAAAACCTAAGAATCACTGAAAAACGCAGTTAGTATCCAGACAGCATTTGAGTTGCTATACAGAGACAGAAAAACGTTTAGATAGCTCGTACGGAGGAGATCCACCCTTCAGGTACCGTAATAATATTTGTTTGATTGCGCAAAACGATTTGTTAGTTTAATTGGTTTAGTTAGCTTTATTTAGTGTGATTTGAACGATTTATTTTGGAATAATAATGGAGGGGTCAATAATCTATACAATTGTAAAAATATGATCGGAAAGTGCAACACATAATCTTTGTAAATTTGTGATTTTTTCAGAATTATATGTGTAAAATTAAAAGGAAATCTCCTCTCGTGTCGCAGTTTCGTCTTCCGGGCATGCGTCTAAACCATCCCCGACAACGATGTCAAAGGGTAAAATTGACGTGAAATACAAACTATGACTCAATATTCTCAGATAATGCAAATTAAACGTAGTAAAATTAATTGCAAACATCTAGCGTAGAAAAATTAGCCATTTTCATACTTAGTCTTATGCGAGTACCCAAAATTAGGCAATAATTCCATGTCAGGAAAACCTAAATACAGGAATCCCAAAAGAGTTTGGATTGATCCCGAGTATATTTGAGTGGGAAATGAGAGAAATCTCAAGGAGAACTGTTCGGTCTGATATTTTGTATTTGTGTGCTTGACTGCTTGTGAATTTCAGTGAAGTTCACTACGAAAGTCGTGATATCTTTCGTGGCGGATGTTGTTGAGGTTTTAACCGATCACAATTCAAAACAAAGGCAGGCAGCCTAAATTTACGTGTTAATTCGAACTCGATATTGCATTGTATTGCATTGTAATAACACTAAGTCGACAAATTGCCGATAAATTTGTCGCGTTGTAATACCACTAAATCGACAAATTGCCGATAAATTTGTCGCGTTGTAATAACACTAGGTCACAAATTGCCGATAAATTTGTCGCGTTGTAATAACACTAGGTCACAAATTGCCGATAAATTTGTCGCGTTGTAATATACCACTATGTTCACAAATTGCTGAATAACTTGTCACGTAATAAAACTGTCTGTCAGACCGATTTAGACCGTCGTTCAGACCGAGTTAGACGCGGTTCGACCTCGGGTATAGGTTAACCGCGGTTTTTGTTAGGTTATTTCTGGATGTGCTGTAAATTATCCTTCCTTTCGTAATGTGAACTCATTTCTGGCACTGATATTTTCTTTGTGTAACTGCAGAACAGGAATTTAAAGAATTACTTATTTTTGTGTATTGTGAAAGACGATATTGCTCAGGCACGAGGTTGGGTAATGTTTTGATCAAACGCGACAGTGTGGGCTAAAATATATATCGTAAAGTAAATATTCCTATCTCTTTCAAGATGATGGACAGTATTAAAGAATACCTAATACCCAAGAGATTTAGCGTCTTATCCTACGCATGTGTGATCATCCATTTTTCCTGTGGATTAATCTTTACAGCAATTGCCAGGGAATTTAGACTGAGCGAGATGGAAAAGTTCAGTTGTGCTGTTGACACAAAACATGCAACTCACAAAAGTTATGCCGAAAAAACGTGTTTTTCAATCTACGACGACGAGTACAACTCTCCCGTGAAATTATTTGCTTTCGTTCTGTTCAATTTTGGTTCTGTTGTTGTTGTGAGTGTCGTTTATTCGCTTGCTGTTGGCAATCGTATCAAACAAACAGAGAGACTCTCAAGCGGAAGTGATGAACCTCGAACAGTCGCCAAGAAAAGGAACAATGAACAAGGTAGAAAAACCTTTTATGTTTTCAATTTCTATTTGTTCCACCTTGTGGCTCGTTCAATGCTCTGTATGTTATTCACAATCCTACAGCATACTGTATTATATCCGAGTGGTTTTGATTCACAATTCAGTTGTAATTACCCCAAATTGAGTTCAACGCACTCAAACATGACTAGAGCAAAGAATACAAGCGGCGACAAGCTATCTAGTGTAAGATGTGCGAACTCAGCTGCCCGGGATAAAGAATCTTTGTTGGTTGCTTTGTCGTTATTTAATGGCATTTTTAGTATAATTGCCCTGGCGGAATTTATTTATCTACTAGTGAAGCGATTTTCCCGTTCCATTCGTCCAGCCTGGTCATGTGATTTGCAATTTATTATTGAGTATTTCCTTCGACAGCAAAACGTATCTGATGAAGTTGACTTGATCGACATGAACACATTTAACAATTGTACCCCAAACAGTCGCGACATTTACAAGCGAAAGGTTTTACAGCTAGGTCTCACACCAGACATAAATTATGGTTCAAAGCATACACCTTTGGACGACATGTATATAGACCTCGTTATCCATACTGAACAAGCCCCACACAAGTTTTCAAAAGGAATGGACAGGCACGAGATCTATGATGTTTATATGAAAGTTCCCGAAAATTCAATACCCCTGAAAGAGATTAAGGAATTATTTTATCCAAACAAGGATACTAAAAACGAAATCCCTTCCACCATTTTGGTGATCGGTCGTCCCGGAATTGGAAAAACTGTTCTCACGAGAAAAATCATGCGAGATTGGGCAAAAGGAGATGATGAAATTTATCACGATACAATCGCATTTTACTTCAAATTCAGATGGTTCAATCTGGCCCAAATGCAACATGTAACGCTTAAGAAATTTCTTCAGTTAGGAACAGAACTGCTGAATGAAGATGAATTTGAAAGCATTTTTGAAGAAATTTGGGAAAACCCGCAAAATGCTACTTTCGTTGTTGATGGTTTCGATGAATTTGGTGCAAACCATGAAGGTTTTCAGAAAGTTCTAGATCAGTCAAGAATGTTTCCCAATGACGATGCTTCTTGTTCCATGTCTGCAATGATTCTGTTTGTCAAAATCTTGTCTGGCAACATGCTACCAGGGGCAACAGTCTTGGTGACCAGCAGGCCGACTGTAAGTCATGTTTTAAGCAAAATGAAATTTGACAGAACTGTTGAGATAGTTGGATTCACATCGGATAAAATTGAACAGTATGTTAAACAGTTTTGTGCTAATCATAACAGGTGCTATCTAGAAGCAACGCTAATGAGTCATATCAAATCATCATCTGAACTGATGAATTTATGCTACATTCCAGTGAATTGTTTTATTGTTTGTGTTTCTCTGTTCGAATGTCTCATTGACTCAGAGGGTGATATTGGTGCTCTACCAACTACTTTGACTGAACTGTACAGTCCTCTAGTGTACTTCAATAAGCATCATGACCGGAATCAAAGCAAAGAAGTTTTAAAGCAACTTCAACAGTTGGCTTTCAATGGTATGAAAAACGATGAACTGATTTTCAATGGAGAGCTAGTCGATGAGAAAATGAAAGAGTCAGGATTACTAAACTTTTTACCTAATCCAATTTTTCAAATTCAAATACAGGTTTGCTTTATTCATTTAACTATACAAGAATTTCTCGCAGCGAAGCATATTGTGGAAACAAAAACACCTGAAGAAATAAAAGAATTTATAACTTTGCATTTCAAGCATGGCTGATGGCATCTGGTGCTTCAATTTCTAGCTGGATTATTGGGAGGGAAAATGAGGAAGTCTGATGACTCTCATCAATACAGAAGCTGCGTGTTGTCGTTCAAGAAATATCTTGCAATTGAAGGCACTACGTACAAGATTACAGAAAATATTTTGGTAATGAAATGCTTGAGAGAAGTGCAGGATGAAGATGTTGCTAAAGAAATTGCTGCAAACTCTGCTTTGAAAGATGTGACTGAGATATGGTGTTCTGGTTTTGCTATTCTCTCCCCAAGCGATGTGGCAGCAATGGTGTTCGTTTGCAAACACTTGAACATTTTAAATTGCCTAGGCATTGCAGGCGTATCCAGTGCTTGTTTGATGGAAGCTTTTAAATTGCTGCATGGAAGATGCTTAAAGTCACTGGATATGGTAAGTTGTAATCTTGGTGACATGGGTGTGAGGCGTTGTGCTACTGCGTTGACATCTGAATGTCAGCTGAATCACAGTCATTCGAAGCTTACCAAGTTATGTTTGTCTCTCAACAGTATTAGTGATGTCGGAGTGGCGTATCTGAATGAGTTTCTCCAAAATAGCCATGAAGTCTGTTTAAAGGATTTAGACCTGTCGACTAATCTCATTACTTCATGCGGAATTCCTGCACTTTTAGAATTTCTCAGCGTCGAAGTTTGTAACCAGCTTACAGAACTTAATCTTGATGGGAATGATATAGGTGATGAGGGCGTTCGTTCTCTTTGTTGCGGAATTCGACAAAGACGATTGAAGCTGAAGAAGTTAAATCTATCCGGACGTTCTTTAACCAATGAAAGCGTACCCTGGCTGGTAGAGCTTATCAGTGATGAACACTGTCAAATAACTGGCTTAGAAATCAGTGGTCGTAAAATAGGTGATCAAGGAATGGAGATGTTGTTTGACGTTTTCAGACAAGAAACATGTAAGATTACTATGTTGAGTATTAGCTCGTGTTATTTAACAGAAAAAAGCATGGTTGCCTTGGGTGATGCTGTCAATGAAGGAAAATGTGGACTAAAGATATTGAATCTTAGCAATAATAAGATAGGAGATGAAGGTATGCGGATCTTGTGCAATGTTCTTGAACAAGGAACATGTCCTCTCACCAGTTTGCACGTTTCCAGATGTTCGTTAACAGACGAATGCATGCCGAGCTTGTGCCAGGCTCTCGGAGATAAACGATGTAAACTCACTAAGTTGTATGTAAACAACAATGAAATCACAGATAAACATTTATCATTACTCTCAGACACTCTGAAATTTCAGAATTGTTGTCTGAAATATTTAAGAATTGAAGATTGCATTATTACTAAAGCGGGTGAAAAGATCCTTAATGAAACCATGCAGTCTGATATCTGTAAAAAACGAGGTTTACACATTTTTTTATGAAAAAGTCGAAAACAATTGTGGGACTGTTTATAACACATATTAAAATGTAGTAACATTTCATCGGAGATCATAACTTTGGTTGAGCCACAAAGAAGTCACAGATAATTATATATTTTATCAGATAAGGTTGGAAATTTGTAGGAATAATTTGTAATTAATTTAGATATTATTGGACAAGATGATGAATTAACAAGGTTTTCATTACTAAAAGTTTAAACGGTTGTTAAAAATGCAAATGGTTTTTTAATCCCGGAGTTAGGTTTATGTTCGTACGAACTGACAAACATATCGTCGTATGTTTGGCTTTGCCACAATTTCACCCTGCATGTATAGTTTACAGAATTCAGCTTTACTAATGAATTTGATTTCCTATTTTTTTCTTTAACGAACCGTGTTGACATATTCGAAAGAGGAAGAGGTCTGTTGCTAGTCACAGGAAAGCTTTCCAGAGCATTTTAGGCAGTTGCCCAACCAAATTTGATTCGGACCGTCAGCGCTGTGTCATTAGGCGACTGACTAACAATTAGACAACGAAGCCCAGTTAACCATTCGTTCAAATATAACCAGGGTGAGTTGTCTAATTGTTTTAGTAAAACTAACAGAATACAAAGAAACCCCACGACTTCAAGTTTTCGCAATAAAAACAAAACTCGCAATTTTAAGAAAACTTTTCGTGCCAATTGTTGATGTTGCAAAGACTTACATGCACCAATAGGCATATTCCGAGAGTGGACTGGATTCTGGTCACAAAATCCTTCTTTTGGAGTATGATATTTAGTCAATCCACTATAATAGGCTATCATTAATCGCCTACAAGTAGCGTAGCCAGGCGGAAAACGCGATTCGGGATAGTTTATTATAGAAACGTTTCAGTAAAACCGAGTACGTAGTTCGTGGCTGAATTGTCTTTTCATTTCAATGATTTATTTCCCGAGCAGTGTGATAAACCCCGGCAGTTTTTTACCCCGGAACTCACGATAATAAACCCCGTCTACTCTTTTAAACTCTTCAAAACTGGAAAATCAAAAGGAAACTTTAAAATCTTACTTCCTCTCGACGTAGAAAACAGCTGCAGAATAAGAAACAAAAACATTTTCTAACTCTTCATGGCGTCGATGTTGATTCATAAAAACGGCTGGATTCGTATGTGACTGGCTTGGAAACACGATTTGACTGGAGTTAAGTTGATCTTCACACTTGGGCGTATGACGTCATAATCGCGAGTTATGACGTTCTGAATTGAATTAGAACACAAATAATTAGCGCTTGAATTACATTTTTATTCTATAATTTTGTGTGTGAGGGCTGACGGATGCAGAAAGAAATGATTCTCTCACTCTCAGTAAACAATGTTTAGAAGGTTAAAAAACCTGACAATTTATCATACTAAACAAATACATTTAATCACCAGGGGCATCTCTGTTTAAAACAAAGGATAGCGCTATCCAGCCTTTGTACAACCGGGCCCACATATAAATGAGGTTTTTTTTAGCAGAAATAGCTGTCCTCCCCCAGGCAAATTTCGGACGGAATACAATGATATTGATGATAAATGTGGTCTAGACAAATTTGGCAATTCTCGCTAAAAATCATCTCTTTTTCAGATGGTTTTTATTAGACATGCTTTAACACTAAACGGCAAAGTGTCCCGGCTTTTTGTACGAGGTTCTGGTTTTGGAGAGGTGTTGATATTAGAAGCAGTTTATAATAAAGGCGCATCAGTATTAGACAGCTGACTGTGTTAGAAAAGTGTCGTTACTTTAGCGATATCTCTTCATATTTAAGTATCAGTATTTAGGTATCAGTCCTTCATATTAGAGAGTTGTCCATAGTAAGAGGGTGTCCTATTAGGGAGTTATTTTTACCAGGGAATTGTCCATTTTAAAGAGTTTTTACATTAGGGACAGGAGCGCCGGAAGAACTGGGGCATTTACGGCAGTTGAAAGTTCTGCTCCATACTGTTGCTAAGGTAAAAGGAGTATGCCCTTTTCCCAAGTTCTGTCTCCCGCTGCTGTTAAAGAGCTTCCGGCCACCCTGACTAGGAAGATCATTATTACATAGTACTATTACTAAGGCATGCCTTTAACACTACGGCAATGTGGACACTGGCTTTTGTTTGGTAAGAGGTACCGATACTATAGAACTGCCAGTATAAAGTTGTCCATTTTAAAATTTATCTTCACATTAGGGAGGTCATTTTTTAGATGATTCTTCAAGAAAGTCGATCTTATTTTGTAACCAATAGAATAAAAATCTCAGAGACAAGGATTAAAGAGTTTGTTTACAGTTCATTGGATAAAACACACTAAAATTAGTAAAATTTAGCTGGGTTGGAAACATCTTGCGTAAAAATATCAGCCTTTTTAATACTTTGTATTGTGCGAGTACCCCAAATTAGGCAATAATTTCATGTTCAGGAGATTTTTTGATACCGGCCTGTATATTTGAGTGAAAAATGAGAGAAATCTCGAGGAAAACTGTTCGATCTGATATTTTGTATTTGGGTGCGTGGAAATTTCAGTGAAGTTCACTACGAAAGACGTGATCCAGTTGATCTGAGATCATGACGTCATAAAGCGTCTCGACAAAACTGTCATGTTCCTGGTGTTACTTGTCGCTATTCTTCCAACTAATAGTGTAAAGTGTGAAAAATTTTAATTCTAATTTACAGTTGGGAAAAAATAAACGTGTTTTCACATAAATATAATAAAATTACTTGATATTTTCGAGTGTCGAAGTCATATGCAATGAAGGAAATGATAATTCAGTTTTGTCCAAGATCTGGCTTCTGATTGGTTGATTTTTATACCCAGATCAGCTGGATATCTTTCGAAAAAAACAAAGTGGCGGATTGTTGATGTTTTAAAGAATCACAACATAGGCAGCCTAAATTTATGTAATTCGAACTCGACATTGTAATAACACTATTTTGACAAATTACCGAACAATTTGTTGCATTGTAATAATAACTATGTTGGCGAAAAATTTGTCGCATTGTAATAATACTATGTTGGCGAAAAATTCGTCAAGTAATAAAACTAACGAGATTCACTAGTGGATCATTACTGCCGGTCGGAACAATGAGAAAAATAATTGGCCGCGCACCTAGGATGATTGAAAATGACCAATGGGGCCTTTAATTTCTGCCATCTTTGGTTTCACTTTCAGCAATCAAGATCCCACTCCACGTATATATGGAGTTCATCGGTGGCCAATCCAAGAACCCCCGCGCGAAATGTGAATTAACAACTCATTTCTGGAACTGATATTTCTTTGTGTAATTGCGGAACAGGAATTTAAAGAATTACTTCTTTTTGCATATTGCGAGAGACGATATTGTTTAGGCACGAGGTTGGGTATTGTTTTGCTCAGTGATTTATTTTAAAAAAACACTTTACGTCGAGAGAGACGCGACAGTGTGGGCTAAGATTTATATCGTGAAGTAAATATTCTTATTTCTTTCAAGATGATGGATGGTATTAAAGAACACCTAATACCGAAGAGATTTAGCATCTTATCCTACATATGTGTGATCATTCATTTTTTCTGGATTGATCTTTACAGCAATTGCCAGGGAATTTAGACTCAGCGAGATGCAAAAGTTCAGTTGTGCTGTTGACACAAAACATGCAACGCACAAAATTTATGCCGAGAAAACGTGTTTCTCATTCTACGACGACAAGTACAACTCTCCCGTGAAATTATTTGCTTTTGTTTTGTCCAATTTTGGTTCTGTTGTTGTTGTGAGTTCGTTTATTCGCTTGCTGTTGGCAATCGTATCAAACAAGCAGAAAGACTCTCAAGCGGAAGTGATGAACCTCAAACAGTCGCGAGAGGGAACAATGAACAAGGTAGAAAAACCTTTTATGTTTTCAATTTCTATTTGTTCCACCTTGTGGCTCGTTCAATTCTCTGTACATTATTCACAATCCTACAGCATACTGTATTGTATCCGAGTGGATTTGATACACAATTCAGTTGTAAATACCCTAAATTGAGTTCAACGCACTCAAACACGACTACAACAAAGAATACAAGCGGCGACAAGCTATCTAGTGTAAGATGTACCAATTCAGCTGCCCGCGATAAAGAATCTTTGTTGATAACTTTGTCTGTATGTAATGGTATTTTTTGTATAATTGCCCTGGCAGAAGTTATTTATCTACTAGTGAAGCGATTTTCCCGTTCCATTCCTCCAGCCTGGTCAAGTGATTTGCAATTTATCATTGAGTATTTTCTTCGACTGCAAAACTTATCTGATAAAGTTGCCTTAATTTGCATAAAAAATTGCTGTGACGTTTACAAGGAAAAGGTTTTACAGCTAGGCCTCACACAGGACATAAATTATGGTTCAAAGCATACACCTTTGGACGACATGTTCATAGACCTTGTTATCCATACTGAACAAGCCCCACACAAGTTTCAAAGGGAATGGATAGGCATGAGATCTATGATGTTTATACGAAAGTTCCAGAATTTTCAATACTCCTGAAAGAGATTAAGGAATTATTTTGTCCAAAGCAGGATACTAAAAACAAAATCCCTTCTACCATTTTGTTGATCGGACGTCCCGGAATTGGAAAAACTGTTCTGACCAGAAAAATCATGCGAGATTGGGCAAAAGGAGATGATGAAATTTATCATGATAAAATCGCATTTTACTTCAAATTCAGATGGTTCAATCTATCCGAAATAGAACATGTAACACTTAAGAAATTTCTTCAGTTTGGAACAGAGCTGCAGAATGAAAATGAATTTGAAAGTATTTTTAAAGAAATTTGGGAAAACCCACAAAATGCTACTTTCATTTTTGACGGTTTCGATGAATTTGGTGCAAACCATGAAGGTTTTCAGAAAATTCTAGATCAGTCAAGAATGTTTCCCAATGACGATGTTTCTTGTTCCATGTCTGCAATGATTCTGTTTGTCAAAATCTTGTCTGGCGACATGTTACCAGGGGCAACAGTCTTGGTGACCAGCAGGCCAACTGTGAATGATGTTTTGTGCAAAATGAAATTTGACAGAACTGCTGAGATTATTGGGTTCACATCAGATAAAATTGAACAGTATGTTAAACAGTTTTGTGCTAATCATAACAGGTGTGATCTAGAAGCAACGATATTGGGTCACATGAAATCATCATCTGAACTGATGAATTTATGCTACATTCCAGTGAATTGTTTTATTGTTTGTGTTTCTCTTTTCGAATGTCTCAT